TTGTCAATGTTTACGTTAAGGTACGTTTCGGAAATCATATTTTCTACGAAATTTCTAGAACATTCAGGCTGGTAAATATAATTAATACTGCAAAAATAAATAAATAAATAAAAACAGATCATTTACTTAAATTGTATCTATTAAAAATAACATATAAACAGAAAATATATTAAATAATTGTCGGACTTAACCTGTTTATATTATATATATATATATATATATATATATATACTCATTTGAAAAAAACTTAAGTATTTTGGCTTGTAATTGAACAAACCAATGCCCAATTTATATATATATATATATATATATAATATATATATATATATATATATATATAAATAAAAAGCAGCTTTTAAGAGACTTTTGCTATAGTGGCACACTAGAAAAAGAGTTCAATGCCATATTAACTGGCAGAGGCTTAATATCTTTAATTATATATAAAACCTGATGATTGCGTGAGAACACATGTAACTGTTAGTTATTGTCTGGCACTCTTCATTGGAAAGTTAATTGATATATATATCTTTATACATGTGTTTGGAAAATAAAAAAAGAAACATTAAAAGAATTGTCGAAATCGCTCGGATATGCAGAACATTCAAACAATCTATACACCCTTTATGTCCAAAAAAAGAAAAAAATAACGAATACAAGAAAAATTAAATAAAAGGCTTAACCACAGTACCTTGTTGGTCTTTTTTATATTAAACATGTATTTAATTAGTCAAATTTCAAAACTATGACTCTACGTTGCCTCCGAAACACTGTAAATATATGGTTATATAAACTATACAATGTTGTTTCGCCAGTGATACAATTTCTAATATTATATTCTATAATACAAAACACAATTGTTCTTTATAGTTGTATCGCTAGTATAAGATGATAATGGTAATATTAGCTGTTTCCTTATAAGGAAACATTCAGCATTTATTAACTGGGCAGCCAGTGCCACTGGCGGTTGAAGTTTATAAAAATATTTCCATAAACATTTTTTCAGTAAAATACATTTTTCAAGTTCTGTAACAATTATTGCTTTTTCTAGTATTAATGGAGGTTTCTTTCCTAATCTTTTGTTTGAAGTTATGTGGAAAGACAACATCTCGATTATGTCATTATTTTCTCTTCGAGTTACATGCGCTAGCCATTTTAATTGTCGCCGTTTTTGAAAGTCCTCAACTGATGGGGTTTCTCTTATTTAGTAGAGAACAATAGTTACTGATTCTGTAGCGCCGGTTCGTGACGCCCAAGAAAGAATAGTCCACGCTAAGACCAACATGCTTCATTCTCTGGAAGCCATTTTTAATCATTGATGTGAGAAACTTTTTGTTGTTGTTTTTTTAGAATGTTTTTCCTTTGTACAAGACCTGAGAGCCACTGGAGGTAGAGTGTTAAAGAGTAAGAAGCACAGTTTATGCAGATATGTAGGGAAAATAACTAGACTTGAAAAGGTTAAGATTGTAGTGATCGGGGAAGCATCCCTTTGGGTGTCGCTTCGTAGCATGGCGGATCTTAGCCGTGAGGATTAGAACTGGTGGCACTAAGGAATCTAGTTCGTGTGAGTACTTTCCATGGAGATAGAGATAGAACAGCAAGACGATACAGATGACAATTTCGATATTTCTGAATATGTCTGGCGTTATGCATGGCTCCATATGATATGATTCTATTGATATATATATATATATATATATATATATATATATATATATATATATATATATATATATATATATAGATAATACTATACTCGTTTCAAAAACCCTGAAATTATTGATTTGCCAATAATCAAATCAATCTCGAGGGAAAAAAAGGTTTTAAAAAAAGAAAGAGCTAGAAACATGAAAGTCTATCGAAAAAATCACACAGATGCAGGTTTGAAGCCCAAAGAAAAAACCCCAATACGAGTAAACAACTAACTAACAAAAGAGCTCAATACAACCGTAGAGCAGATCTAGATACACGTAGTGAGCCAGACATTTGGCCAAATTTCCCTGACGATCCGTTTAGGTGAAACCTAGGTGGTTTGTCTGGCTTTACGTGTATCTCTCTCTCTCTCTCTCTATATATATATATATATATATATATATATATATATATATATATATATATATATATATTTCACCCTAAGCAAAGGGAGTGCCACTAGCACGCAAGGCGTGACAGAGAGTAAAGAGGGGGTGTTTGAGGAAAGGATAAAGAGAAGGACGGGAATCAAGATCAAGAAATCAGAAGACGCCGACTGACATTACATTTGAATATTTGAAGATTATAGTTATCAGGGAAGCAAATAAGAGGAAGGGAGTTCCACTGTCGGGAAGTGTAAGAGAAGACGTTGTTGGAGTTGAAGAGGCGGTTGCGTTTAACAGCTTCGACAGTGAGATTCCAACCTAGTAGCACGCTTAAATTCATGCAGTTGGGGTACCAATGAAAGTAGCTCGTCAAAGCAGTTTCTATGAAAATATTTGTAGAAAAGACAGAGGGAAGCCACATCACATCCGTGAGAAAGTGGCTATGGACGAGATGCCAGGTCATGACCTATCACATTGCATATATGATTTGAGTTTTGGTTTTGTAGCAACTTACTGTGTTGGTCGAAACTTGGGCAGCTGAAGACGTCCCGTGTTTACTGAGATAGTCAGTTGTTATATGAAAGGATGCATTGTATGTACGTATGCATAGCCTGTGAACGATCCAGTGGAGTAGAAAGCCACTACCTTGGCGTCATCAAGTTAGGCGTTGTTAATGAGGGTTTTGCAACTGTTAGGTTCTTACTGGGTGTAGTTGTAAGCTCAGCGCACAACCGGTTTGGAATCGTTTTCCTTCTCTTAGATTGGTTATAAACTAAGGCTTAGGAGCTAAGTGTGCCCTGCTATTAAATCCTAGATGGTGGATAAGAAAACATTGATACTAGGGGTGTCTGTGGGAAAGCGAACGCGATGGCTGCGACTGGATTTTGAACTCGTCATGTTAATCCCACTTACCGCGCCGATAGTCACTACGCTACAATAAGACGCTTGGGCGCCTCGGCGTGGTGTAATGGCTAGCAGGCTGGTCTTGCTAAAACTGTTACAACTGAATATTAAGTTCGATCCTCACTGGGTGCCCCATACTTTCGGCCATGTGCCACATCGAAGTCTCGCTTAGAAAATCAATACAGTAAGACGCACTAGTAAATTACAATTAGCGTACCAAACTCACATTACTATAACATTTGAATTTCTCCGTATTAAGCAGTGAAACCCACTTCCTAATACAGTCTTTTTTTCTATTATTTCATGTTTGATTTATTTACATTATTTTATTTGTAACTAGACAAAAAATGAACAAACCATGGAAGAACATGCAATCAAAGTGTAGTATATTATTCAAACACTAACAGTAGAGCCCGGCATTGCCCGGGGATGTAACTGTAAGGGATAGATCAAGTATCGACCATCATAAAGACTGAAAAATAAAATTGACAAAGATTATTGTTTAAGGTTGACGGACACACATGTCTTAATTAGTTTTTTTTTTTTTTTTTAACGAATTGGTCAAACCCAAACTCAAACAAAAACATTGTTTTCAATCGTTATGAGTCTACCGTTTGAAAAGAATTTTATTATAAACAATTGTCTTGTAAATGGAATTTTTAAAGCATTCTGAATGTAAAAATAAAGAAAAAAGTGTGCAAGACAATAAGAAACACTACCTGCCAAAAAAAAAGTGAAGTTTTGTTGAAATCGGTTGAAAAATGTAGGAAATCCGATCCCATATATAAACGAACACACACACACACACACACACGAACAACGTGGGTTTTATAATAAGTATAACTCGATATGAGTTGTCCCCCTTTCATTCCACGAAAACGATGCCTCTTAATCGTGTTTTCAAATTGATTTCTTGCAAAAACAATTGTGTTTTTCCCATTTTTAGCGCTGTCAGAACCACCGCAAGGTAATTTTACGTAGTCCTGTGAATTTTTGTTGAAATCGGTTGAAAAATGTAGGAAATCCGATCCAATAGATAAACTTACACACACACACACACACACACACACACACACACACACACACACACACACACAACCTGGGTTTTATAATAAGTATGATGATTTAAAAACCAGAATCATTCTTATATATATTAATAAAATACATTATACAGATAATATATATATATATATATATATATATATATGTGTATATCCCTCAACGATTTACTTCAAGGTTAGATAAATATTGGGCGTTTACTTGTGAGTCTATAAGCATTTACTTGTTTTGTGGGTAGGTAAATTCTGGGTGTTTATCTTTGAGCTAATTAATATTTACTTGACTCGAGGGTAGATAAATATTTCTCGTTCATATTTGAGTCCCTGAACCTTTACTTGATTCGGGGGTGGGGGGGTAAATAAATATTGTTTTTTTATATTTGAGTCGATAAGCATTTACTTAGCTCTTGGTCAATTTTATTTAAATCTATAAGCATACACTATGTTCGTGGATAGGCAAATATTCTTCGTTTAGCAAGGCTAAATTTTAAACTTTAAAATTTCTGTCGCCAGACGTGTTTCTAAATTCAGAGCTCAGCTGTTCTCATTTTGTTTACCAAATTTTTTGTTTTCATATTTATACATACCGTATTTTTTAATAGGCACGCTGTGACAACATATGATTTGTTAAGAAGGGTCCAATTCTGTACGAAACTGAACGTAAATTTACCTTGAATGTTTCAGAAATCAGTGCACTTTCTTTACATTATCGCCTTAGTAAATTACTTTCTCTTTTTAATTAAAGTAGCATTTTATAATTTTAAAATGTACCGTTCCTATGTTTCTCATCGGTTCACAATTATAACCCAAGTTTACATTTATATATACACCCTCCATCCATCAATAAAAAATATTATTTTTGTCCGATGGAGTACGTTTGATGTAAGAAAGGTGTTACATGTAATTTTTCATGTAAATCAATTACCTTATAATTTTCTGCTATATGGAAATTTATATATGAATTCTAAGATAGATAGATAGATAGATAGATAGATAGATAGAGATAGATCAGAGATAGATAGATAGATAGATAGATAGATAGATAGATAGATAGATAGATAGATAGATCAGAGGCTGAGATAGATAGATAGATAGATAGATAGATAGATAGATAGATAGATAGATCAGAGGCTGGGATAGATAGATAGATAGATAGATAGATAGATAGATAGATAGATAGATAGATAGATAGATAGATCAGAGGCTGAGATAGATAGATAGATAGATAGATAGATAGATAGATAGATAGATAGATAGATGTTAACCGTTAAAGCTTAATAGTTTAGCAGAATTATTTCTAGGAGTGTTTAGCATTTATAAACTGCATTCAAATTGATCACTCTAAGTAGTAAGCATCTGTTCATCACGCGAGATAAAGGTAGCCTCCTGTTTGGTCAAATGTCATTCCTTTGGTGATGAAAGGGAAATGATCACTCGACAGTGTAGGGCTGAGCGATGGTATATGGTGGCCGTGGGTTGCCTAGACCATATGAAACTCCACTCTCGGCCGTACAGACAAGATTCAAAAGAATACAGCATATTATACTTGGTGACGGCTTGGAAGTAGGAGTTGCCAGAAAATTTTCAGGGTTGACAAACAACCGGCTTCGGAGCACCACTCCGTGTTTTCTGTTTGGATTCATAGCTTTTTCTACAAAGCAGTGGAGGTTTAAAATCAGGGTTTTTCTTGCTCTAGATGGACTGCCTGCCTGGGCTTTCTCGGTCCGTCTACCCGAAGCAGCTGGTTATGAGGCACCAGTTGTCCGATTTCGCCCATTCTCTGACATGGAGTTGGATTTAGTTGTTAAATAGGCCCTGAAACATCTTCAGACCCGTTATAATGAGGAAACATTTGAGGCAATTTTTTTACAGACTGTGACCTGAATGACCTTTCGCGAGCCAATACACTTAAATCAAAGCTCGAATATATATAAATTCATCAATGAAAATAACCAGACAAATAAACTAACAAACCTTTGGGGAAATTCCTACACTAAACAAAACAAAACAAACAAAACAAACAAACGAAAAAAACTGAAACGACAACTCTTTTTTTTTTTTTTTTCGATCAATCAAAACATACGCTGCGACTAAAGACACCGCAAACAATTTATATCCGGCAAATTTTCGAGGGGAGGAGCAAAATGGCGTTTGATGTTCGCGCAGATAAACGTTTAGAGGTGGCGCTGGTCAGTAATGTTAAAATACCCTAAGGGGCCTCTTAAGCCGACATCTTTTACAGGCGACGAGAATAAATAGAACGCTTTTCAATAATTAATAGGAAACTTTTGATCGGGTTTTAGCTTCCGATATGGCTGAATCAGAGTGCTGAAGCAATATTTTTAGAAAATCTCAAACAGAAATCTTTCTTTTTCTTCTTCATTCTTTTCTTCTTATGTATGTATATATATATATATATATATATATATATATATATATATATATATATATATATGTGTGTGTGTGTGTGTGTGTGGGTGTGTGCGTGTGTGTGTGTGTGTGTGGAGGAAGGGAAGGAGGGAAATAAAGAATTTGTACAAAGAAAACAACAGTGCGTGATTACTAAGATTTTCACGACTTCAGTGATCATCAAACTCATTTCGGATGAACGCATCAGGTTTGTGATGATTTTTATCTACATGTCATCTGTCCGTGAATATATATATATATATATATATATATATATATATATATATATATATATATGGTAAGAAAAGAAAGAACAGTAAGATATATAATCCGGTGTTCTTATTGATATTTTTATTTTTACAAAACAGTGCCCAATGTAAATTTACAGAGCATAAATATTATAAATTAACTGGTTTAAAAATATGGCTTCATCCCTACATAGAAATTACCATGTTTCAAAAACAGAAGCTAAAAACTTCAAATTCAATAATATAATTAAATAAAAAGCATTAGTTTTATTTCATCTTCAAGCGTAATTTTGGAATAATTTATATTGAAATTTACTGAGTTTTAAAAGCACACACATTCATAATTTTTGTTTCCAAAATTACAGAGAAATTCAATCATTTAGACAGGAACGGTAGCGTGTTTTTTTTTTTTTTATTAAATATCATTGTATCAATTATGAGTTACCATATTTTTTATATAATTTTATCAATTATGAGTTAAATTCATATTTTTAAATTAGTTAATTTATATATATATATATATATATATATATATATATATATATATATATATATATATATATATATATAGATAGATAGATAGATAGATATATTCAGTTGTATGGATATAATTTTGTGATCCTGTGTTTCACGCTTTTGCGATTATCAGACAAAGTGGTTTAGTTCTTGAAAATTGAAATTATATATATATATATATATATATATATATATATATATATATATATATATGTCTGTGTGTCTGTGTGTGTCTGCGTATTTATATGAATATGTGTAAAAATTGTGAAATAAATAAATTTATATTTGTAAATAGACTGCATTAAAAAATTAAAAAAACTACATTATCGAACATTTTCGTTCTCTGATGGAATTTATCAAGGTAACACAAGACCCTTATATTTGCCAACAGAGGTGTAAACGAGTCAGTGTAGTAATGTTTTCGGTTTGTCTTTATGTAATCTCTCTCTCTCTCTCTCTCTCTCTCTTTATATATATATATATATATATATATATATATATATATATACATGTGTATGTGTGTACGCGCGTGTGTGCGTACGTGCGTGCGTGTGCATGAGTGTGTCAGGGGTATTTAGTGGAAAGTGCTCAATATCCGTGATAGAGCTAATATATGCGGTTGCATGGATATTAGTTTGTAACCTCACGATCTTCAGACAAACTTTTATTTTTTTCAAATTTTGGATCTATCTATCTATCTATCTATCTATCTATCTATCTATCTATCTATCTCTCTCTCTCTCTTTCTATATATATATATATATATATATATATATATATGTCCAAATAGATTCAAATAAAATGTATGTATGTGCGCATTCTGCTACTTGTGTGGAATGTGTAAATTTTGCTATATATATATCAATATATACCAATATTCTTATGCCATTTCTTATCCAGAATATAACTGTATATATATATATATATATATATATATATATATATATATAGATAGATAGATAGATAGATAGATAGATATAGATATAGATATGCAGAAACATATCTATATTTGGTTTTGTTTAGTTTAGTTTACGGCATATCAACCTCAATGGGTTATCTAATACCGACAAAATTTTTATTGCTGGTAATAATTTTTCCAAAAATGCATTGCTGATAATATTTTTTTTCATTTTCCCAAAAATGTACAGTTGGTAATAATATATTGCTGGTAATAATTTTTTCTTCAAAAATTTGTTGCTGGTAATAATTATTTTAGAAAGTATTTCCGTTATTAAAACCGATTTTTACATTTTTATAGTGTTTTGACCAGAGTTTGTGGGTCAGCGATTTGCCCATAGTTGGGGCCCTGACACGCTCCTCAAACATCGTGATGTGAGACCCAGGATGCGGATATAGTTTATCGTCATAGCGAGGACGAACATATCTATGTATATACATACATATATATTAATATAAAAACTATATATATATATATATATATATATATATATATATATATATATATATATATATATATACTAGCAGCACGGCCCGGCGTTTCCCATGTTTGATTCAAAAACCGTACGACTCATACAGCAAACGCTATCACTTGACTTAAAATATTTTTGCCCTTCCTTGCCTTTAAAGGAGTGTCCTTTGCCGTGCTGATGTTACTACATGCCTTACTTCTTGCCTATCTCACACTGCGAATTTTTTCTAAACTCTATACTAAACATTAAATTTGTTACGAAAAAAGAACTAAACAAAATGAACACAAAACGATCAGCTTTAAAAAAGGACTCGTAACTGGAAAAACCGAAAAAAAGAATGTTAACAACAAATACTTTTTCACACCCAATCCAGTTCTGCGGAATCAGAATCAACGTTGAGTTTAAGCAAGCGAATGAGCCGATTGGAGTAAAGTGCTATGCAGATATAATTTTTTTTCATTAGTGACGAATGCAGCTATCGAATTATTTTTTTTGCATGCTAGCATGCTAGTTAACATACGTGTCAGTCAGCTGTTGGCTCTCACGCTGGCCAGTACAAAATGGCCGCAAACTACATGAAAAGTGCCGTAGACGCATGAAAAATCGGTTATTTCCACTATCGATGGGAGTTGGGAAATGTAACGTCGGTCTTGGATTTTCCGCTAACTTGGAGCATGTGCATGTAAATTTTGGTGCAAATCCGTCGAAAATTGAGGTCATGCATTCGTTACACACACACACACATACATCCTGCCTTTTATAGATTGAGATAAATGAACGACCATCCTGTCCGCTTTTCTCTCGTAACTCTAGGCTAAAAACGATTTTTTTATAAATAAAATTATAAGGGAAATAGGAAATCAGCATTTTCCTGCCTATTCGTGGCAGCCAGCTATTGGCTCTCACTCTGGCCAGTAGAAAATGGCCGCAAACTACATGAAAACTGCCGTAGAAGCAGGAAAAATCGATTATTTCCACTATCGATGGGAGTTGGGAAATTCAAAGTCGGTCTTGGCCTTTCCACTAACTTGGAGCATGTGCATGTAAATATAAGCCGAAAGCTTAGATTGGATTAAAAAAAAAGTATCAATATTGTGATTTTCTTTCTTCGTTTAATGATAATGTTATTAAGTTTATCAGACGTTATGAAAAGAATTTACATAAAATAAATAGACAAAACTTGTCTATATTATTTAATGAAACATGCATTAATGAAAAAATGCTGCCTAAATACACACAATATATATACATATATACATATATACAAGACTCTTAAAAATCGCCTACATTCATGTCGTGGGCCAACGGCTTAGTGGGGAGAATATCCGACTATGGCCAATTCAGCCGGGTTTCGATACTAGTTAGACAACTGGTTATTTGCCTCTACTGAGGAGCTCTGATACGGCAAAACCGTCTCTCTGTGGATGACTACGTATATAAAGCATATAACTTGTTTAACATTTGCTTGAATTATCAGTCCACTTCATTTTTTTCTTAGGAAATGACATTGTCTTGTGTGTAAAATATGTATCCACCCACTCCTGTTTAACCTCTGTGCTGCCATTGACTTCCAATCTATGGTTCATGACCCGTTTACGTAAAATAATTTCTTAATTTTTGCTTTTTGCTTAATTTAAGTTTAACGTACGTCATATTCGATTGGTTGATCTGAGTAAAGTCCACAAACCTTATAACTACCCCGTTTTTTTTTCATAAAAAGGTGTATTTTACTTTTAAATCTAAATATATCGTTCATTCGCTAGTAAATTACAATCGCCTGATGAGATGCATTGATACGCCTCGAAACACGACTGCAGTTGTGTAGCGATTTTTTACATGTTTTCGATGTAATATCCTAAAATAATATATATATATATATATATATATATATATATATATATATATATATATATATATATATATTTTGGAATAATAAAAATAAAATAAAAAATTAAAAATAAATCATTAGACACACTATATAGATTAATATTCTTTTTTTTTTTATTATTTCATTTAGATTCCTCGACTAGTTTCGACCGAAATGGCCATCATCGGGAGGAGAAATATTTTTGCTTGCTGTTATAGTGAACTATATATATATATATATATATATATATATATATATATATATATATATATAAATTTTTAGAAATAACAAGAAATTTACAAAATTACGGTTTTTAAAATCATTATTTTTTCACAAAAACGTTGTCTGTTTCATGGAAATGTAGGGATTTCAAACAGATACAAGTATTTAATTTTTTATCATAAACAGAGCACTTTTAAACTATAACCGCATTTAAATACTTGTATCTATGAAATAAATAACGTTAAAAACATAAAAAAATTTCTGCTTGTTTAATAAATATAAAAAATATATATATATAGATAGATATATATAATAGAGAGAGAGAGAGAGAGAGAGAGAGAGAAAAATAATGAGAGAGAGATATGTATAGAGATATATATATATAGATAGGAAAATAAATTATGTTAAGAATTATACTGTCTTAGTCTCTTGGCTCCTTCATCTATTTCTACAAGGTCACCTTTCAAATTTGAAAAGAATCCCCACTAAGCTTGAAATATGCTTGTAATATCGCCATTGACAGAGCAGCAGGAATATCTAAAATTTATTTGGAAGGCGCGCTCAACTCCCTCAGATTTTTTCGCTTTGGGATAAAAACCGTTGTCTGATTCGCGGAAATGTTCCAGGGACTTTCAAACAGAAAAAGAATAACAGTGACGCGAAACCCGATCGCTGGGATTTCCTGAATTATATATTAATTATCCTCACAATATTGTTACTTGTGTTACGCTCCACTTCGCATTAAAACTATAACCGCACATTTCATTGGAGAAGAAATAAGTCTTAAATTCATTTTATATTTTTCTATGAGGCAGCTGCAAAATTTTCCGGAAAATCATTTTTTTTCACGCAAATTCTTAGCCTTATTATTCAGTAATCAACTATTTTACATGCCGTTTTCCTTACGCCACATTTGCTAATTGTAATTTAGTAAATTCTCGATGTGTTAAAAATATTGGAATGACTGGACAAAATGTGAGATCTGGGTCATAATCCTAAAGAAGAATGTCCCATATGAGGAAAAGATCAGAATCTGTAAATGTTGAAATTATTAAATTTCTTAAATATCCCTGAAATTCAAAATTCTTTATATGATAATTAAAAAGAAATAATGTGAAAAATTGTATAAAGGTGATTACAGAAAAAATAATGAAAAAAAAAATTAAAACAATTCAGGAAAATTATAGAATGATTTCGTAAATGATAATACAGAAAAATAAGTTAAAAATCATTAAAAGATAATTCAGAAAAAAATAGAAAATAAATTATTAAAAGATAATTACAGTTTAAAAATTTTTTTTTTATTTGAGAAATAAATGCATTTACTTATAACAATTACTTATTATGAATTAATTATAAACTCAAAGGAAACAAATTAAAAAATGTATTATGTCCGACTTTTACAATCACTGGAATTAGAAAGTAACATTAATACCAAACTTAAATGTGCAAACAATGAGAGAACCAATCAATTGCAGTTTTTCTATGAGAAATAAGATGTTCGAAATTATGCCTTTCCATATTACTCATTCTAGGATTTCAGCCTAACGGAATTTAGAACTTTTGGGTCGGTTAACTTTCAGGATTTTAGGTTTTGTAAATCTGATCTGGGATTTCAACATTACGGATTATTTCATGTGATATCATGCACTTTGGGACTATCACAGACAACTCAAATAATATTTCATGGAGATACGAGAGTAGGCTGAAAAGTTCATAGGCTGACTGTGGAGGAATGATGATAAAGCCGTTAATACTTCTATGTATTAAATTCAGTACTACGTATTAATAAGAGCATCATTTAATTCCATAATTAAACCTGATATCTAGCTGTTTAAAGAAGACATCAAAAATAATTGGTAGAGAGTTCTCATGATAATGGTGTTATTAAGTCTGTCAGGAAGTTATGTGCCATGCTGAGGCGATCGTTTGTCATTCGATACATGACAGCAACTGCCATAACCGAGGAAAGCATTCTTCTTTCAACTACCATAACCGAGGAAAGCATTGATCCTGCAAAATGCGATAACCGAGGAAAGCATTGATCCTGCAACTGACCATAAACGAGGAAAGATTGATCCTGCAACTGCAATCGAGGAAAGCATTGATCCCTGCAACGCCATAAAAGAGGAAAGCATTGATCCTGCAACTGCCATAACCCAGCCATAAACGAAAAGCATTGATCCTGCAAATGCCAACCGAGGAAAAAAGAGGAAAGCATTGATCCTGATCAAATGCCATAAAAGAGGAAAGCATTGATCCTGCAACCATAACCCATTGATCCTGCAGGAAAGATTGATCCCGATCCCATAAACGAGCCATTGATCCTGCAACTGGAAAAAGAGGAAAGCATTGATCCTGCAACTGCTATAACCGAGGAAAGAATTGATCCTGCAAAAACGAGGAAAGCCAACATAACCGAGGAAAGCATTGACCCTGCAAAACGAGGAAAGCATTGATCCTGACATAATAACCGAGCTGCCAAAACGAGGAAAGCATTGATCCTGCAATTCCCTAAAAACGAGGAAAGCATTGATCCTGCAACTGCCAAATGAAAAGCGAGGAAAGAGGAAAGCATTGATCCTGCAATTGACATAAACGGGAAAGCATTGATCCTGCAACCGCCATAACCGAGGAAAGCATTGATCCTGCAATTGAGGAAAGCATTGATCCTGCAACTGCCAAAAAGAGGAAAGCATTGATCCTGCACTGCAAATGCCCTGCAATAACCGAGGAAAGCATTGATCCTGCAGCTGCCATAAACGAGGAAAAACGAGAGGAAAGAATTGATCCTGCAACTGCCATAAAATGCGAGGAAAGCATTGATCCTGCAACTGCCATAAAAGAGGAAAGCATTGATCCTGCAAATAACCCAGCTGCCATGTCAGATCCTGCAATTCCCATAATTGAAAAGCATTGATCCTGCAGCTGCCATAAACGAGAAAGCATTGATCCTGCAATTCCCAACGAGGAAAGCATTGATCCTGCAACTGCCATAAAAGAGGAAAGCATTGATACTGCAACTGCCATAACCCAGGAAATCATTGATCCTGCAGCTGCCATAAACGAGGAAAGCATTGATCCTGCAACTGCCATAAAAGAGGAAAGCATTGATCCTGGAAAAAGCATTGATCCTGCAGCTGCCAAAACGAGGAAAGCATTGATCCTGCAAAGCCATAATTGAGGAAAGCATTGATCCTGCAGCTGCCATAACCGAGGAAAGCATTGAATTCCAACTGACATTGATCCTGCAACCGAGGAAAGCATTGATCCTGCAACTGACATAACCGAGGAAAGCATTGATCCTGCAACTGCCATAAACGAGGAAAGCATTGATCCTGCAACTGCCATAACCGAGGAAAGCATTGATCCTGCAATTGCCATAAACGAGGAAAGCATTGATACTGCAACTGCCATAACCCAGGAAATAATTGATCCTGCAGCTGCCATGGACGAGGAAAGCATTGATCCTGCAACTGCCATAAAAGAGGAAAGCATTGATCCTGCAAATGCCATAACCGAGGAAAGCATTGATCCTGCAGCTGCCATAAACGAGGAAAGCATTGATCCTGCAACTGCCATAAAAGAGGAAAGCATTGATCCTGCAACTGACATAACCGAGGAAAGCATTGATCCTGCAATACTGCTGCCATAAACGAGGAAAGCATTGATCCTGCAATTCCCCCATAATTGAGGAAAGCATTGATCCCGCAGATAAACGAGGAAAGCATTGATCCTGCATTGATCCCAACTGACATAACCGAGGAAAGCATTGATCCTGCAAATGCCATAAACGAGGAAAGCCCTGCAATTCCCATAACCGAGGAAAGCATTGATCCTGCAAATGCCATAAACGAGGATTGAATTGACTGCCATAACCGATGAAAGCTTTTGTTCCTGCATAAACGAGGAAAGCATTGATCCTGCAGCTGCCATAAACGAGGAAAGCATTGATCCGAATTCCCATAATTGAGGAAAGCATTGATCCTGCAGCTGCTATAAGGAAAGCATGCCTGCAATAAACGAGAGGAAAGCATTGATCCTGCAATTCCCATAATTGAGGAAAGCATTGATCCTGCAGCTGCCATAAACGAGGAAAGCATTGATCCTGCAATTCCCATAATTGAGGAAAGCATTGATCCTGCAGCTTGGAAAGCATTGATCCTGCAATTTCTAATTGCCCCGCATAAACGAGGAAAGCATTGATCCTGCAATTCCCATAATTGAGGAAAGCATTGATCCTGCAGCTGCCATAAACGAGGAAAGCATTGATCCTGCAATTCCCATAATTGAGGAAAGCATTGATCCTGCAGCTGCCATAAACGAGGAAAGCATCCTGCAAATGCCTTGAGGAAAGAGATTGATCCTGCAATTCCCATCCTGCAACTGCCATAATTGAGGAAAGCATTGATCCTGCAGCTGCCAAAAGCATTGATCCTGCAAGAAAGCATTGATCCTGCAGCCCATAAACGAGGAAAGCATTGATCCTGCAATTCCCATAATTGAGGAAAGCATTGATCCGAGAAAGCTGCCATAAACGAGGAAAGAATCCTGCAATTCCCATAATTGAGGAAAGCATTGATCCTGCAATAAACGAGGAAAGCATCCTGCAATATAATTGAGGAAAGCATTGATCCTGCAGCTGCCATAAACGAGGAAAGCATTGATCCTGCAATTCTGCATAAACGAGGAAAAGCATTGATCCTGCAATTCCCACTGAGGAAAGTATTGATCCTGCAGCGCCATAAACGAGGAAAGCATTGATCCTGCAATTCCCATAATTGAGGCATTGATCCTGCAGCAAACGAGGAAAGCATTGATCCTGCAGCTGCCATAAACGAGGAAAGCATTGATCCTGCAATTCCCATAATTGAGGAAAGCATTGATCCTGCAACTGACATAACCGAGGAAAGCATTGATCCTGCAAATGCCATAACCGAGGAAAGCATTGATCCTGCAACTGCCATAACCGAGGAAAGCATTGATCCTGCAAATGCCATAAACGAGGAAAGCATTGATCATGCAACTGCCATAACCGATGAAAGCCTTGTTCCTTAAGCTGCCATAACCGAGGAAAGCATTGATCCTGCAGCTGCCATGTCCGAGGAAAGCATTGATCCTGCAATTCCCATAATTGAGGAAAGCATTGATCCTGCAGCTGCCATGTCCGAGGAAAGCATTGATCCTGCAATTCCCATAATTGAGGAAAGCATTGATCCTGCAGCTGCCATGTCCGAGGAAAGCATTGATCCTGCAATTCCCATAATTGAGGAAAGCATTGATCCTGCAGCTGCCATAAACGAGGAAAGCATTGATCCTGCAACTGCCATAACCGAAGAAAGCATACGTCCTGCAACTGCCATAACTGAGGACAGCATTGTTCCTGCAGCTGACATAACCGAGGAAAGCATTGATCATGTTAACCATAGTGTGATGGAAGATAAACGATTGACTGCTATTAGCATATCCTAGAAGAGAGTTTTGAATATCCTGCCCAATGAACTTGGCATGACAATGGTTATTTCTCTGTAGGTCCCACGTCTTCTGACACCTCACCAAAAGTGCACGGGCTGATTACATCACGTGAAAATTCCTTGAACGTTTCCTTGCTCAAAATGAGTGTTAGATTCATCACTTCGAACTAGATACAAAGTGACCTTTGAAATGCCCCTCTTTACCTTCTTCAAAGAAGGCCAAGTTCGTTTTATCTGCAAAGACTTCATGACTGTGGCTTTAAACTGATGGGTCACCCACCCTATACCCCTGATTTGACTATCATCTGTTCGCAAATATGTTAAAAACACCCGGTTGGGAACCAGTATCACAATGATAATGTCGTCATATCTTATATTGCTTGCTTCTTTTTTTTCCAACCGGATGACCAGTATTCTTCGAACGGTCAGATGTCAGTTTACCTGAAAGAAGCAATGCGGTTATTAAGAAGAAGAAAGTAATGCATGCAAGATTTCGTAGGTATAGCATCACTCCTTCGTAGCTAGTCTATAAACATTATCTGTCCACCCTCGTAAACAGTTTTTAGTCTGACAATGTACAGTTTTGAAACATACATCATATAGTGAATAAAATATATTCCTAATATTGTAGCTGACACAAGATAAGCATTGTGAATGATGTATTCAGTTATTCGCTAGGGATACATGTGATTGCATGACGGTAAATATTCGTCCTGATATCATAGCTTTGTCCATGAAACAAATATAGAGCAACGTATAAGGCAGAGTAGTTGAAAATAATTTGGGATGTTGACGCTCCTTAGCAGTGGATTTGAACAGTCTCGACCTTTTGAAAACACGACCACTTTACGTTATTTACATTGTTCTGACTTTTGTTCTCATCTTTATTGTCATATTCACGACATTTCTGCCGCTGTACGCTCCAGCCTTCTTCAGGGGATATAAGTTGGAATTTCGAACCGAACAATTTATTTAGTCCATCGGGATTGATTGTTCTACTTCCACGTGCCATGCCTTTTTTCTGGATGAATATGCCAATAAAGATGAGGATAATAGTCTGAACAATGTAAATAGTTTAAACAGATTCAATACGTCATCTCAGAAATATAGGCACACTACCTATTGTTTCCAAATAGTTTAAATAAACAGATCTTCTTTTTTTTTAAAATAATTATTCAACCAATACGAAACTGAAAAGCCACTAAAATCAGTGGGTTATTAGATGAGGTTGTTGCATGAACATAAGAAGTAAGAAGTGCAGATTATGAAGATATATAGGATAGATAACGTTGACCCTTGACTTGGAGAGATTAAGATCGTAGCGATCTGGTAACATCAACTAAGGCGTCTCTTTCACAAAAATAATGCTTTCTGGCAACTAATTGAATATGAAATTGGTGGGGGATGTTTTGTCCCAGTAGATGTGGCATGGCAAGTTATAGCTGTGAAGGTCTGAACTGATGGAACTAAGATAAGAATCTCGCCAGAACTTGCACTGGAAATAGCAAGAGGGCAAAAGAAAGGCTTGCCATATTTTGTCTGTGGAAAAGGGGTTGTAGAATGGGAAGTAATTTATTAGCCACAAGGCCGCAGGAATGCTTCTGGAGACAGTAAATTAAGTTTGGCAGCCCCAGTAAAGATATGGACAGTTTTGCTCTGATCTGTCTCAGTAAATGTAGGGAATATATGGAGTCATCCGTTACGTTCTGGAATGGTACAAGAAACCGGTCATTTCCCCAGCATAATTGTCCATTCCACAAAATATTTAATACCTAAAAAACATTTGAACAATTTACACACACACACACACACACATATATATATATATATATATATATATATATATATATATATATATATATTGATGAATCATTCATACAAAAAAACAAATATATATATTTGTCTTTTGTATGAATGATTTATGTAATTATAAATTAAACTGACCTATAATCGAAATTATATATATATATATATATATATATATATATATATGTGTGTGTGTGTGTGTGTATGTATATCACGATTGAAACTCACGATTCCACTCGATTTTTTTAACGTTGAAACAAGATGTACAGTTTCGTAGTGGGCATGTGCGTGTTCTAATTTAATACTGCATAGTAAATAAATATTTACGGCTCTACTTTTCAGCCCTGTTTTATATTAATGTTTTGGGCGCTGAAATCTTACTCTTCGTTATTTTACATTTGTATGTGTGTGTCTGTATATATATATATATATATATATATATATATATATCAGATATGAATAGGAATCCCCCAAGATGTTAAAATAAAATAAAGAACAAGTAGGACACGTATCTCAATCTAACTAGTTTCTCTTTTATTAAAACTTCCTCAAGGATGGAGATAGAAATGAAAAAAGCAAAATGACTGACTCTTGGTATGTTAACATTTTTGTTCAGATACGTATTGATCAGATACGTGTCACGTGTGTAAGCGCAATAGATAATACGTAAATATAAGTCAGGAACATTTTTGATGTTAAAGTCTGTGATAGCGTAAGAGTGTATATGGAAAGAAACGCTTGTGTGTCTAAGTGTATGTTGGACGCTAACGTTAATTCATGTAAGTGACGACAGCAGACATTCCCCCCCTCACATACATAAACATACACGAGAATATAAAAACCCAACGAAATAAAAAAAATTATTGCAACATCTCGCTACATTTCACCGACATAAACGAGGGTGACATCTATAGACATTCCTCAGACATATTTATACACAGAGCGGCCATATTGAAGGCAAAAGAGACGGGGGAAAAAATACATAACCTACCAAGCGAATTTGAGTAAATGGATGACGGAACAAAGTTTAGAAGTGATAACAAAAAGATAAACGTTGTTAAGCGTTATAAAAGACAGGAAAATGTGGAGAGCCATGATGCTCAACAGTCTGATACAGGAAGGGAAACGTCACGCTGTACAGGTGGCACTCACAGCCAAAAATCGGGAAATTGGGATTGTTTATCTTGTGTTCAAGTTCAGCAAGAAGCAGTAGGTCTCTGGTGGGGACGTATGCTTCTTCATCAAAAGAGATAAATATCTTAACTCAGACGTCAGACGACATAAAGACTTTGTTAAGTAGATTCTGTATATCATCAGCTATGAACTCCAGCCTCCATGTAGAACAATGCAACTGGCTTTTTATGAATAATCAAGAGTAGTCTCCCCTTGTTTTGTTACTCTCCTCTTTGAGAGAGCTATTTCTGTTTACTGGGACTATAAAAGAACCCTATACGCGAACCTTGTATTCTCAGTTAAATAAATCTTTCTTAAAGCCTACACCTGCGTATATTTGTCATGACATGGCTCTCCCAAGGCGCTGAGCGTTGTGGTGAAACCCTGAGCAACTGAGAAGTGGGATGCCCAGATGAGACGACATGTGTCCCAGTAGGACTTTGCTTCACTCTACTTGACTCATATTATCCCAGAAACAATTTTGAAATGACAGAAAAATTAAATAAAAAGTAGTCTATTGAGGAAGTCAATCCTTCATTCAAATATGTTCGGGTAAGATTATTTATATTCGAACAGTTATTCTTATTTTTTGTTGTTGTTATCACACTGTTTCGGTCGTTGTTCCCACGATTATAACAACAAAGACAAGGACAATAGTCCACATGTAAATAGTATAAATAATGATAATTTCTCATCCCAGAAATTCAGGCAGAAATGTTCTATTAAATACAACAGGGACGGAATGTCTCTTGAGATTTTTGATGAGTTTAATTTGGTATCGAATTAGTCCCTTCATTTCAGAAAAAAAAAATTGATCATGTTTGAATGTAGGAATCCTGCCTGAACTAGACTCCAGAGGAAAAAAATAAAGTGTAGACATTCGGTATATATTCCATATAACAGGACACATATTTGTATATTGTATAGAACACACACATACACAAACATATATATATATATATATATATATATATATATATATATATGCATGTATGTCTATAGAGAGATAGCTAGATAGACAGATCAGATGAGATATATACAGGAGAGACAAAAATTATTACATTAGAATGTCGTCTGTCTGCCGAGAATATGAAGGCAGAGACGCCGTTATTAATGCCTATTCATCCCCGACACCATCACATCCTCATCTATATATATAAATATATATATGTCTTTGTGTGTGTGTGTGCGTGTGTGTGTGTGTGTGTGTCCGTGTGTATGTGCGTGTTCACTGCAGTGATCAATCTTCCTTCTAGACGGGCGTTCGGCGTCCCACCCCATCTGAGCTCCCAACGCGAATCCCTTCTTTATGGGTCAAATATTAGGGATATGTTGACTTACACATTTACCATAATGTATATATATATATATATATATATATATATATATATATATATATGTGTGTGTGTGTGTGTGTGTGTGTGTGCGTATGCGTATATATGTGCGTGTTTCTGAATGTGCGGCTGGCATACTGTTCGTCGTTATATTTTCCATTATATACATATACAGATTACTGGATAAGTATACTAAATACTAACACACACGTTAAATTTTTATTTTTCATTTTCTTTATATGTTCTGTGAGGACTTTTAATAAATCTATTTCCTGGTCTAATTTAACTCTGACCAGTAATTGTTTTATAATCATATATATATATATATATATATATATATATATATATATATATAAACAATCCTACATTTAAATATTTTATTAAATACATCAGACAAGGAATATATATCTTCAGCATGCACACATACACACACTCATATATATATATATATATATATATATATATATATATATATATATATATATATATAGCATAATGAGAAGACACATACTTTCTTAATATGTA